TTATATCTATTTTGTTTTGGCGTAGAACCAAAATTTGGAGGCACCAAACCACCAAGTTACTTGTTGAACGTATGTAGTAAAAGGATTCCGGTTAAATTTCAAAATTCTTTCTAAATTACTAATAAAGTATAACAAGTGCACCCGGTGAAATTACACAATATATAGAATGATGCGTACGTATTACATATATATACAGTCTGAGTTTTCATTATAATAAATAATTAGATATAAAAAATAATAATTAGATTTTATGTTTTGGTGTTGCAGGTGTGAATTATGTTTTAGTGCCAAGATCACATCATCTAGTTTAATATTGAATTAGCAAAATAATAATTTCCACAAAAATATAATATATTTTCGACATGTAAACCAATATATATATATATATATATATTGGTGCCAATTTCTAATGATCAAAAATTAATAAACATCATAATTAATAGATTTTTAGGATCCCAAATTTGACCGAAATAAAAATAATAAGATAATATCTTAAAAATATTATATGTAAATATATAGTCTTATTAAATTATAAATTATATATATATATTACAAACCAACTATTATATTATTATTTTTACATTCATAGTGAAATTATCTTTATATTTCTTAACACTTAATATATATATATATATATATATATATATATATCTTGATGAGATTAGTAAAACTATATTTAAAACCATATTTATAAGAGACATATTTGATATACACAAAATAATATAATTAAAATTAATATAATTGTCAAATTTAAAAAAAAAAAATTAATTTGTTTATATACTAAAATCGAAGAGTATTTTTATTTTATAAAAAAATATTTCAGAATAGAAAAATCTTTAAAATATTTTTTTTGTAAATTAATACTGCTATAAATTTAATAACCTACTAACCCCCCCCCCCCTCACATTATTAATTTATATAGTTTTTAATGTATATCTATCTATTATATTAAAAGAAAAGTTATTACTTATTGCAGGTGTGATGATCATCTTCTAAAAATAGTTTACATTATCTTTTTTTATTTTCATAATAAAATCTTAACAATATATTTTGTTTTATTTTTTATTCTATCAATTTTTTTAATTCTCTTTCCTAAATGTATACCATACGTAGTCATTTACTTTATCAAGTGAATACAATATACATATGTAACCATGTCTTTTCTCAATTATTTTTCTACAAAAAAATTATACCATTTATTCATATCAACATACATACATTTTAGATATGCATGGCCATATATCAATACTATTAAACAGGAACACATTTATCTACTTGTAAGTAGTCTATATTAGACTATTACATTTATTTAATTTTCTTTTTATTCTCCTATAACTAACTTAATTATCATTTAAATGTATTCATGCTTAACCAATTATTTTAATACATATTAAAACATACAAATATATATCATATAAATTTTGTTTACAGAATTTTAAATAAAGAATTTTTTTTTTAAATCAAATTGGGTTACATATAAAGTCATCATTTTTTCGGTTTAATTACGGGTCCATATCGTGTTTCAGATCACTGAATATAAACATAGTTACATAATCAAAAATAAATTTATATCATATGAATTTGATTTGTTTTGAAAAGAATCATGCGCTTTGAATCGGTAGCCGAATCCTAGGTTTTAGCGGGGTTTATAGAATTTTAAATAATGAATTTAAAAAAGAAAATCAAACTAGTTACATATAACATTATCGGTTTTGACGGTTTAACCACAGATCCAGATCGTGTTTCAAAACACTAAATATAACGGTCATGTGTAACATTTAAATGTAGATACATATTCAAATATGCAAATTTATCTCATAAACATTTGGTTTGTTTCGAAAATAATCATGCGCTTTGAAAGCGCGGATCAAAATCTAGTTATATATTAAAATAGAAATCATGATTTCACTTCATGTGTGATTTTTTTTTTTTTTACTATGAACCTTCACTTAGAAATTTTATTAATTGTATCTTATTAAGACTAATAATATATAGAATCTTTAAAATACTTTAATCATAATATATATTGATATCTTTTCACTTCAAATATAAAAATATTTAAAAATTCTAACAAATCTGTTTTAAATATTTTTACAAGATCTTCATTTTCGATATTATCTTTAAATCTTTTCACTAATTCAAAAATAGTTTAAAATATTATCATACATTAATAAATTCAGTTAAAGTTTATAAAATGAAAATAAAAAATTATATCATATTATCTATTATATAATCATAATCAACTATATTAAAAGAAAATTATTATACTGAGCTAAATATAATAAAATTTCATCAAAATTATAAATTTATATATTTTATTTTTAAGTATAAAATATTTATGTTCAAAAACTAAATCTAATATGTTGGTAAGATGAGTTAACGTTAGCAAACTATATCCTATTTTATTTACTTTATAGTCATAATCATCATGTTAAAAGATAATTATTATATTGAAGTAAATATGATAGAAGTATATTAAATTGATAAATTTATAAATTGAATTTTTGTAAATATAAAATATTTATTTTAAAAATATAATATGATGACAGAATGGTTTTAAATTAGCAAACTATATAATACATGTCTAAAACTTATTATATCTTAAACTTTTGTATATATAATAATATAATATCTAAAATGAATAAACATTAAAATATTGATAAAAGAAAATCCAACTTGAAAGACGCGTTAGAATTTACCATAATTTAAATACAAAATAATTTCAAATATATTTTCTTATGAATATATTAATTTAATTAATAACTAAATGCAAATACATAAGATAAATATATAACAAGAAGTGACAAATAAATATAGTTTTAAGTAATTGATTAATATAACATATAAATTATAAAAATGTTGTATTTGAAATAGATATAAATATTTAAGTATATGATTAATGTTAAAAATATATACTATTTATGTTTAAAAAAAATATTTATATATATAAAATTGAAAACAAATATTCGTGTGGTTACGCAGATCAAAATCTAGGTTTTTATTAAAGGAAATGCATGTTTCCACGCTTCGTTCGTGTAACACCTTATTGTGATATGTTATGTAAGATAAGGTTACAGATATATCACTTTGTCATATCATTTATCCCACAAAACTTTTTGATACATCCATATATAATATAATTTATAATACATACGCAAATAAAGTTTGTGAAATGACTACATTGCTCTTGTAACTACAAAAGAGAATAGAGATTTTTTTTGGGCACGTTTTTTTTCCTCCTCTCGTGGTGGTTAATATTATGTAACTAACAAATAATTTTGCACATATTTATTTTTTCACAACGGTACTCCCTACCTCTCTTTGGCTGTCGGACAAAGTTCCAAAAACATACCAGTTTTTTTATAGAAGAATATTCAACTTTGTTACTCAAAATTTCGTGTAAATTACAGATTGTGGGGTATATTTTGAACTTTTTCCATTACTTTTGTTTTGCGTTTTCTTTTTCTGCTTTTACATGGGTTTAAACTTTAATTACAAAAATCTTGGGTGGGTCTGGTTAGAACCCTTAAATCAAATGATATTAGACTGAATCACATAAAACTGATAAACCCGGTTGAAATCTAATTCTTAACAAAGACCTTGATTTGATCCCAAAAAAAAAAAAAAACAAAGACCTTGATCTTCAAAAGAGAAGCCATGGTTCCGGAATCTGGAACTTGTAATAACACCAAACTGATTTCTGAATATATGAAAACCCCGCGTGGCTATAATAAGCTAACTTTACGCTCTTGTTCTTGTGAACTTGTGGTGATTGGTATGATTAAATCAGAATAATAAATTAATAATCAATACAGCAAATAACTATACATGCGATGTGAAAGCTTCCAAATTCCAATATATAGGTGCTACAAGCCAACAAACAAGTCATTTAAAAATATTATGTAGCAAAAGTAAGAGCAACTCCATCGGGAGCTTCTACGACCAGTACTAAGCAGAAAAGAAAAAATAAATAAATGAAAAAGGCAAAAAGAACAGAGTATCGCTACTTAACGTGGGCTCTTTAGAATCAGTAAGGAACCCTTACGTGTCGGATGATAGTTGGACCTGCCTTTAATGTCTCTCTCTCCTCTGTGTCCCCATGACGAATGCGACGGAAAGTCTCGACCTGAATCTCTTTATCATAGAATTTGTGTTTTGTTCTTGCTTGTGTGTATTGTGTGTATTGTTAATTCTATTTTTGTTTTGCTACAAGAGAGTTGAAGACGAGGGAGGTAGGCGACGAGAGGGCAAGCTACTAGAGATGATCTCTTCTGGGCTTTAGTTAATTTTTGTTTTAACCTAATTCTTCTGTATGGGTCTCTGTAATTTTATTAAAAGGTAGAATCATTTTGTATTTTCAAACCCATATGATTGATCTTCAATGAAATTAAGTTGAGAAAAGAAAAAAACAACTGCGTTTTATATAGTTTTTTTTTTTTTGTAAATGAACTCGTTTGGTATGGTTTAACAAGTATATATACAAAATGTGAATTCAAATTTCATTTTTACAATCTTTCAATTTTTTTTAAAAAATATACATATTTTTTTAAGAACTCCTATAGGGTCCTCCCATTGGAGGAGAAAAAATATATATAGATTAATAGGGGTACTAAAACTTTCAAATCACAAAATTAAATACTAATTTAATCTTAAGTACTCATTAGAGGTACTAATGGATGGAGGTGGTCTAAATTACCGTATTATCAAAACAGCCGTTCTTGTGATTGTATCAACTTAGAAAAGTCAAGTAAGCAAGTAACAAGACTTATAATGACTGGCACTCAGTAAATAATAATAATAAACAGTTTCTTTTTGGTTCCGGACACTTTTGTAACGAACAAGCACGTTTTTTTTGTTTAAACTTAAATTTCAACCTAACTTAAATATAATAAAATATCAACATGCACTTATGGTGACAGTACTGAAATCACACTGATTACACAACACTATGACACTTAAAGAACACTGTATATAAACACAATCTCTCCTTCCCTTCATCTTCACCAATTAATTCCACCAGCCTTTAGAGTGAAAGAGAAGGAGAGAAACACAAAATGGTGAAGTTCGAGAGGGTTCCTTTACTGTTAGGATGGTTTCTTGTTTTAGCTCTGGTCGGAGCCAAAGCCAGTGAACCTGTCTGTCGTCAAGCTGAAAAGTTTAGCAGAGCTAGTTTTCCTGAAGGTTTCCTTTGGGGAACCGCAACCGCAGCGTTTCAGGTCCAGCTTTTGACATTTTATTTTTCTTTCAAAAATATGTTTTATGTTTTTTGTTCTATGATTATTAGTTGTTTGATTTTTCTATTTATGGTGTGTAATATAGGTTGAAGGAGCTGTTGATGAAGGCTGCAGAGGTCCAAGCATGTGGGACACTTTCACTAAGAAATACCCACGTATGTAGATTGCTTTTCTCCCTTTTTCAATATATATATATAATTTTATACTACGCACATAATTTATTTAATAATATTGAAAAAATTCCAGATAGATGCCAAAATCATAATGCTGATGTAGCTGTTGATTTCTACCATCGTTACAAGGTAAATATACATCAGCATTTTTTTTACCTTGTGTTTTAATTTTATTTTACTGGCTAATAGATTTTATTATGGTTATTATTAACAGGAAGATATCAAGTTGATGAGAGACCTGAACACTGATGCTTTTAGACTTTCTATTGCGTGGCCTAGAATTTTTCCTCGTAAGTTCTTCAAGTTTAATTTGTTCATCAATATTTTAGTGTAGTTAATAAAATAGAAATAATTAACAAGGGGAAATGCAAAATAATTAACAGATGGAAGAATGTCTAAGGGGATAAGCAAACAAGGAGTCCAATTCTACCACGACCTGATCGATGAGCTTCTTAAAAACAGTAATTTTATTCACCGCCCAAAATTTGATCAAAAATCTGTAGTTAATTTAATACTTAAAATTATTTTGTTGGTGTGAATATAGAGATAACTCCACTAGTCACAGTCTTCCACTGGGATACTCCTCAAGACTTAGAAGATGAATACGGTGGTTTCTTGAGTGGTAACATTGTGTAAGTTTTTGATTCTTTTTTCTTGATTAATATTTATATTCTTTATTTTTCTATTAACTAAATGAAAATGATTATTTTGCTATTGTTAAATATAGGAAGGATTTTACGGAATATGCAAACTTTACTTTCCATGAATATGGAGACAAAGTAAAGAACTGGATCACATTCAATGAGCCATGGGTGTTTAGTCGTGCCGGTTACGACGTCGGGAAGAAAGCTCCGGGACGTTGTTCACCTTACATACAAGAATATGGAAAGCACTGTGAAGATGGACGGTCAGGCTTCGAAGCTTATCAAGTCAGTCACAACTTACTCTTAGCTCATGCTCATTCCGTTCAAGCCTTCAGAGCATGCAAACAGGTTTATCTTAAATTACACCATATTTTTCTTTTATAATTATTTATAATTTATTTGATAAACGTTAATCTATTTTTTTGGGGGTCATAATATAGTGTGCTGGAGGTAAAATTGGAATTGCACACAGTCCAGCTTGGTTCGAACCAGCCGACCTGGACAGTGTTGGAGCACCCATTGAACGTGTGCTTGATTTCATCCTTGGATGGTAAAATAAGATTAACGCATTAATATAAAATTTACTTCATTAGTTTATTTTAAATAAACCTATGTCATTCTTATTATTTTTATAAATAAATCAGGCATTTGCATCCAACAACCTATGGAGACTATCCACAGTCGATGAAGGATCGTGTTGGCCATAGATTGCCAAAGTTCACTGAAGCTGAAAAGAGAATCCTAAAAAACTCTGCAGATTTTGTCGGAATGAATTATTATACATCAGTGTTTGCAGGTATCATGCACGAAGGTAGCTCCAAGAACCCTAGTTGGGCGACAGACTCTCTTGTTCATTGGGAGAGTAAGACTGTGGATGGTTACAAGATTGGTAGCAAGGTAACTGAATCTTTTAATTTATAAATTTATTATAATACTAATATAGTTGCCTACTATATAATACAGTCTTAATTAAATATATTGATGGAAATGTTTATTTCTTTAAACAGCCTGCAGGTGGTAAACTGGATGTGTATTCAAGAGGAATGAGGAAACTTTTGAAGTATATCAAGGATAACTATGGAGACCCAGAGATTATGATTACTGAGAATGGTAAGAGAAAACGTTCAGAACTCAATATTATATCACGTTTCCACCTTGATAAAACTCAAGTTTTTTTCTTTAAAGGATATGGAGAGGATCTTGGAGACCATCACAATGACGTTGCAACTGGAACAAATGATCATAACAGGAAATATTATCTCCAGAGGCATCTCTTGAGTTTGCATGAAGCCATATGGTAAGAAAGAAAATAAAGCAAGCTAATAGAAACGTTAAAGACTAAATAAATTTATATTAATAAGATAAACATGATTTTTTTTTTGTAGCGACGACAAGGTGAACGTTACTGGATACTACGTGTGGTCTTTGATGGACAACTTTGAGTGGCAAGATGGTTACAAAGCTAGGTTCGGGCTTTACTATATCGATTTCCAAAACAATTTGACCCGTCACCAGAAAGTTTCGGGCAAATGGTATGCTGATTTCCTTAAGCCTGGATTTCCAACTTCCAAGATACTTAGGGAAGAACTCTAAGAATCAAGAATCCGAATCTTGAATCCTCTGAAGAAAAGGTTAACGTATTGGAAGAGTCTTGTTATTGAGGATCACTATCTGTTCTGTGTTTGTATGGATCATGTTTATCGTTTTTATCTATGGTTTCCTTCATGTTAGTCATCGTTTAAATAAAATGTTGTTAACGTCAACAAAATAATATGGTGTTGCCTTCTTTTTAGTTCGTGTTATGATACATACTTAAATCTGCAGGAATGTTTGAACGAAAAGAATAGATAAAGATATAGTGCCAACCACTAAATACCAAGAACTATTGAAATATATACTTGCGTGCTATATATGGTTAAGAAGTATATTAATATCTTATTTCCTTCGTAATACAAAGTTGCCTAAAATGCAAAAAGTGTATTAATATTTTATATGTACTGTATATACTAATTTAAATTACCATATTACCACACTTTTTGTTTACTAAAATCAGTAACAGTTGATCAACAATAGTATTTTGATTTATGGTTGTATATTTTTATTTGTGGATGTGGATCTGCTAGTACGTTGTAATTCTAGAAAATAGCAGGTGACTACAATAAAACTACATAAATTAAACTTTTTATTTTTGATTTTTTTTTATAATTTTTTAAAAATCTTTTAATTTTTATTTACAAGTAATTACCTTTCCCTAGTTGATTACAGAAAACACCTTCGCTAGTTTTAAGAAATTAGAAACTAAAAACACTTGGACAATTAAATGCATGATATTCAAGTGTCAATCCCCTAATTGGATAACCCATCTATGAGTATTGTTTTAATTTTAAGTGTGTGGTTGTTATAAAAGGCATATAATAATTTTTATATATGAACTATACATCGACTAAATATGAACTATGCATGACTTTTGAATAAGGGTGATTTTGTGTAATAACCAAAAAAGAAATTAATTAATTTGTAGAGAGAAGAGAAGAGATAGGAAGAAGAAATAGGAATGATAGATAGATTTATTTTTTTTATTTGTATATTAAAAATATACAAATAGATTCATTATCTTTTCTTTTTGGAACAAAAAAAAAAAGAATAAAGCAACCACTTAAAAAGGTAAAATAGGCCATCATCTATTCCCGCCCCCGGTTCGTTGTTTGTGCCGTTTCTTTTATGACTAGTGGAGAGCTCAATTATTAAGTTTATATTTTGTCAGATGAGATCTGAATTAGAGTGGGACATTAGAGCAAACTCCAACGGTAAGAACCTATTCGGGAATCTAATGAATAATTTCATCGTTAATTGGGTGATTTATAAAGTTTATAATTATTTTATTTGTTATTGAAAAAACTTCACATTGTATTCCAAGTAAAACTTGGTGGAAACAAATGAAAGACAAAGACTAATAGGTAACTAAAAAACATAGAACCCAAACCATTGGGAAACTGAAGAAAATAGAGAGACGTTGCAGCTCACCAGCTCCGAACAAGTATGATGCCGTAATCAAGAGGACTCTGCTACTTCTCTAGCTAAGGAGGCCATAAGCCAACTAGGGCCATTACTTACAACACAAGAATGCCATTTATCTTCTCGAGTAACACTTTTTGCAGTCTGCAAAGCTGAGAAGTTACACGAGGATGAGACTTGATGAAGACTGCTTCCTTGAATCGCATGAATAAGCCTCAACGTCTTATGACAGGGGTGATACAGAGATGAGAGTAGGAGAGGATCCATCAAAGCATTAACAACATCAACCGATGAGAATTCGAACATCACCTTCCTCATTTTATGGTCAAGCATCGCCTCTGCCATCCAAGATAATGCAGTCAGCTCTGATTGAGCTTTTGAAGAGATTCCAAAAAAGAATCTTCTACTGTGAAGAAGAACTGTGCCAATACAATCACGCATGATCCAAGCCGCTCCCGCCAATCCAGAGGTATTAGGCCAGGATGCACATACGTTACATTTTAAAACCTGACTAGGAGGTCTTGACACGTTGACGCACCATGAGACGGCACTGGAGGAACTACCGTGACACCAGGAAGAAGACCCTGGAGGTTGAACCAAATCGAGGCTTCCTCTAAAGATAAGGAGACAATAACAGTCGGCACAAGAGCAACCATCTCATAACATAATTTATTTCTCGCCTTCCAAATCTGCCAGAGCAGCCAGGGGAAAAAGAGCCGTGTTGAGATACCTAGAGCCTGATTCTGAGTGCAGTCTAACATGTAGTGAATATTCAGAAAGACCGAGTTATTGCGACCAACCAGCAGACGGAATTGGAAGACCAGACGATTACCAAACCTGTTGAGCAATAGAACAATGAAACAAGACATGGCAAATAGATACAGGGTCTTGTTTACAAAGTGAACAAGCAGTGTCCAAAGGTATCCAACGAGATCTAAGCTGCGATTTAACTGCAAGGTCACCAGACAACACTCGCCACATGAAATGATGCAGCTTCAGGGAAGTTTTTGTTTTCCAAAGCTTACGCCATAACTGTGATTCTAGCGGAGGGAGATAACTTGATACACCAGACTGGAGTTCAACCAGTCATTCAGTCAGCTTGTACCCACTTTTGGAGTCATAATGACCATGATGTGAAAGACCCCAGCATACTTTATCTGATCTTGAAAAATTGAAGGTCGTGTTAAGCACTAACTCTACATCCTCATCTGCAATTAAATGTCGAACCAGACTAGTATTCCATCTCCCAGTCGTTCCATCCATTAAGTCATTCACCGTCAATGTAACATCCACTATTGAATCTTGGTTGTAATTAGGAGGTCTCGCAACCGAGTCCAAAACCCAATTATCCAACCAGACCTTAGTGTCTCTACCATCACCAATCTTCATCATTAGACCTTATTTCAAGAGCTCACGACCGTGCATGATGCTGCGCCATGCAAAGGAGGGCCTGGTACACATGATGTATTCTAGGAAAGAAGAGCGAGCAAAGTACCGTTGTTGAAGAATACGAGACAATAGTGAGTTCGGAGAGCTCCATAATCTCCATGCCTGCTTGGCGAGCAAAGATTGATTGAATTTTTCAATATATTTAATCCCTAACCCACCTTTGTCTTTGTCCTTACACAATTTTTGCCAAGTCACCCACGAAATTTTCTTGCGGTTATTCCCACTGCTCCACCAGGACTCAATCATAGCACTTGTCAGTTTCGTACACACGTATTTAGGAAGCTTGCAAGACATAACGTACACCGGGAGGGCCATACAAACAGATTTCATTAAGATTTCTTTGCCTCTCTCAGACAAGGATTTAGAAAACCAACCATGTAGCCGGCCTTGCAGTTTTTCTCTAATGGAGCTAAGAACCTTTCTCTTCGATCCACGGAAACATTTAGGAACACCCAAATAAGAACCTTCACCACCTTCTTTTTTTCAATTCCTAATGTTGCTTTGATGTCATTCTTCGTAGTCTCAGACACTATAGAACCAAAAATCACTGATGACTTTTGTTGGTTAACTTTCTGCCCAGATGCATCACCATATAACCTAATGCAAGCCATGAGTTCCGATGCCTACTATGTCGTAGCTTTACACAGGAGTATGTTATCATCAGTGAAAAGTAAATGATGTAAGGAGGGACACGATTCTGTCAGTTTAATTCCATGAAGACGCCCAGCTTCCTCTGGCGCATTTACACAATTAACCAGAGCTTCTGCACATAAGATAAACAAAAACGGTGACAAGGGATCACCTTGACGAATCCCCCGTTCTGGTTTAATGTGGCCATGGAGTTACCATTTAACAACACCAAAAAGGACACTGAACTCACACAAGCCATAATCCAACTGACCCACCGTCGATTAAAACCCATTCTCTCAAGAAGAACCTCAATAAAGTTCCACTCGACGCGATGGTAAACTTTCGACATATAAGTTTTAATTATCATCCATCTCTCCGCAACTTTAGGACGTGTGTGTAATCCATGTATCATTTCGTGCGCGACCTGAAACAAAGGCACCTTGTGTATCAGAGATAATCGCAGGGAGAACTGTCTTTAATCGATTACACAAGATCTTCGAAATAATCTTGTACTGAACATAGCACAAACTAATAGGTCTCATATCCTTCATCATCGTAAGGTGATTGATCTTAGGCAAAAGACTAATTTGCGTATGGTTCCACCCTTGAGGCATAATCGCCGTACAGAAAAAGTTTTGGATCTCAGCGACCAAGTTAGGACCAACTATATGCCAAAACCTCTTATAGAAAATGCCAGTAAGACTGTCTTGCCCTAGTGCACTACTACCCTTAACACTGAATGCCGCTTTCCTAATTTATTCTGCCGTGACAGCACCCATCAGTCTCTCATTCATCTGATCTGTGACTCTGTTCTGAAAGCCAAGGAACAAAGTATCTAGATCAAATGGGTTGGTACTAGAGAACAGATCCCTAAAGTATTCCATTGCAATGTTCCCTTTGGAACCTTTAGAAAAGTGTTCTTGACCCCACTCGTCTAGCAACATCAAAATACGGTTTTGAATTCTCCTCCCTTTTACACAATTGTGGAAAAAATTGGTGTTGCGATCTCCAGCCTTTAACCACTCTTCACGACACTTCTGACGCCAAAATAACTCCTCATCTCAAAGAGCCTCTGGTAGCTCTATTTTCAATTTCTTCATGAACTCAAACGATGGCGATCGTTTAGAGACCTCCTTTTCCAAAGATGCTTTAAGGCGAGTGATCTTATCATGAGAGTTGAGATCAGACGTCTTCTTCCAGTCACGTATAGTACGTCGGCGATGGTGTATACGTTCCATTGTATTAATTCGATCACCCGATCTCTTTTCCCAGTTTATGCGCACCATGTCCTCGAACCCTTCTCTCGAAAGCATGCGATTATCAAAACAAAAGCATCCTTTGTATGGATTATCTCTTTCTAAGGAGAAAGACATCCGAATCGGTGTATGATCCGAAGCCCATAGTTCCAGATACTCCATGTTAGCTCGTAGAAACAGAGAAAACCAGCCACTATTTCCAAAACTTCTTTCTAATCGACATTGGACCCAATCATTCTCTCGTTTACCAGCCCAGGATAGACAGTTGCCTGAATGTCGTAACTCCTTGATCTTACAATTCTGGACCATATTCCAGAAATTCAAAAAGGAGGAGTCATCCCTCACTGCTTCTCCAGATTTATCATCATTCGAGAGAAGTTCATTAAAATCAACAGTTAAGAGCCAAGCTTTATCACGTACCAAACCAAGAACAATTAATCTTTCTCATACCACCTTTCTCCTTGCTGTCACCGGATCCCCG